GGCTTGCCAATTCAATAAGCTTGTCATTCGAAACTCATTGATACGACTAGGACACGAATTTTAATTAGGGGGTGGAATATTTCTCTGGTGCAGTACAAAGATTTATAAAATAAACATTTAGTGATCAAAATGAAATGAATGCATAGAGTTACCATTAATTTATTTGTGTTGTAATTGGCAGTATTAAAACTTACAAAATCGTGAGAGAAGAGGGAAACACGAAGTACAATTACTGAAATGTCTGAAAAATAAATGCAGAATTATACTTTGAAAATCGTTTATATTTTCATATTATTGGGTCTACACTTACCCGGAGTCATGCATATATGCCCACAACCATTGGAGCAGCATTTAGTGTCTCCTTCACAGTCATAATCATTCCCACATCCCTCTAAGCATATTCCTGTACCACCTTCAAGCGCGGGACAATGTCCTGGTTTAACATAAGGAACTGAAGGAAAAGAAATGTATTTTCTTGTTTGACAGTAATTTGAATGGTACTTTAAGACAATGCCCCTAAACAGCTGATTTTTCATTCTTTATTCATGTAATATCATCTAAATTATCTACCTATGTGTCAATACACTATTACTACTGCCTCAGCTAGCCAATTCAATAAGCTTGTCATTCGAAACTCATTGATAAGACTAGAACACGAATTTTAACTAGGGGGTAGAATATTTCTCTGGCACAGCAAAAACATGTTAAAAAAATACATTTAGTGATCAAAAAAGAAATGAATGCATAGAGTGACCATTAATCTATTTGTGCTGTAATTGGCAGTATTAAAACTTACAGAATCATGAGAGAAAAGGGCGACACGAAGTACAATTACTGCAACATCTGTAAAATAAATGTAAAATAATACTTTAAAAATCGTTTATATTTTCATATTATTGAGTCTACACTTACCCGGAGTCATGCATATATGCCCACAACCATTGGAGCAGCATTTAGTGTCTCCTTCACAGTCATAATCATTCCCGCATCCCTCTAAGCATATTCCTGTACCACCTTCTAACTCAGGACAATTTCCTGGTTTAACATCAGGAACTGAAGTAAACGAAATATATTACTTGTTAGGACAGTCATTTGGACGGTACTTTTATACATTTCACAAAACAACTGATTTTTCATTCTTTATTCTTGTAATAACAGCTAAATTATCCACGTATGTGTCAATAAGCTATTACTACTTTCTCGGCAAGCTGGCCATTAGAAACTCAATGATAAGACTAGAACACGAATTTGAATTAGGAAGGGGTAGCATACTTCTCTAGCGCAATACAATTATTTAAAAAAAATACATTTATTGATTAGGGAGGGGTAGCATACTTCTCTGGCGCTGTACAAATATTTTCAAAATATACATTGATTGATAAAAAGGAGTGAATGTATAGAGTGACCATTAATATATTTTACTAACACTAGTAAACGAATTTCAATTGGGGAGGGGTGGAATATTAATCTGGCGCAGTACAAATATTTTCAAAACAAAAAATAAATCTAGTATTATACTTTAAAATCATTTTTATTTTCATATTGATGTTCTACATTACACTTACCTGGAGCCATACATGTATGCCCACAACAATTGGAGCAGCACTTCGTGCCTCCTTCACAGTCATAATCATTCCCACATCCCTCCAAGCATATTCCTGTCCACCTTCTAGCTCAGGACAATTTCCTGGTTTAACATCAGGAACTGAAGTAAACGAATTATATTACTTGTTAGGACAGTCATTTGTACGGTACACTTAGACATGGCACTATAATAAGTGATCTTTCATTGTTTATTCTTGTCATAGAAGCCCAATATTCTACGTATGTGTCAATAAATTGTTACTACTGTCTCAGCAAGCTGATATCATAAGCTGGCCATTAGAAACTCAATGATAAGACTAGGACACGAATTTCAATTAGGGATGGGTAGCATACTTCTCTAGCGCAGTACAAATATTTTAAAAATATACATTTATTGATAAAAAAGGAATGAATGTATAGAGTGACCATAATATATTTTACTAAGACTAGTACACGAATTTCAATTGGGGAGGGGTGGAAAATTAATCTGGCGCAGTACAAATATTTTCAAAACAAAAAAATAAATCTAGGTTTCTACTTTAAAAATCGTTTTTATTTTTATATTGATGTTCTACATTGCATTTACCTGTAGCCA